AAGACGTGCTGGCGTCACGCCAATTTCAACCTCCCTGATACGCCCTGCCCGCAGCGAACAACACTGTATAAGAGACTAAGGGCTCGACGGGTTTTGTAGGCCCACCTTTGGGATGCGCCGCGCACTCTCCATCCATTCACAATCGCAGTCGCATTTTAGAAGAGATGACCTATAAAACGACTCCTAGGGATCAGCCAATATATGACTCAGCGTTTTCAACAAGCGAACCTGGCACCCATGAACCGAACCCGGAGTAACCTTATTTTGACCCTCGATCCTCAACTTGTGGCGCAATGCAACGTGAATTGTCACTAAACCTCCTTCCTTTCTGCCATTTATTTATTCCTTCTACAATGTCAACTTTGCAGCTGAAGCTGCAAATCACAAAACATGTTTGTGGACGTAGGCTAAGTTACCATTTCTTTAAAAGCCATAATCCTTTTCCTCCCCCTTCCGTCGTAACTGATACGATCAGCTTATATACCATTGAACGTAAGAGGATTTCTCTTACGCAAATCCAGAGATCTCACAGAAAGCATGCGTAACTGTGCCTAACAGGGATCCGACTTCGAATTTTGCCTCCTTACACAAATAGTGGATCAGTGAAGAACGGCCCTAGTAACCATTCGATACAAAAGCAAACTTTACGCTCACACTCTAGGACGGTCCCTTCCAGAATACGCCATCGTGATGTGTGAAATGGTGGTGTCAGTACGATCCCCCCTCTTTTCAACCAATACCTACCAATTTCCCACATTTTCCACTTTTTCACTCGAAAATTTTCCGCGTGTGGACGCGGTAAGGGAGGGAGGGGGTATATAGTACACATGAAACAGGAAAAATCACGAAAAGTCAACAAGCCGGAAAAATTTTTCCTAACGCGGCAAATTTCTCTCAAAGCCACATGCGACACCCCCACCCCCTCCCAGCGACCAAATACGACGCAGCGAAAAAGTAAAAAAGTACGACCCCCTTTGGTGATACCCGGATAAGGACTGAGTAGGGTAAGGCAGCACGCTCACGGGTGGGTATGTAGGTATCCAAATCTGAATTATCCGTTACACAACTTATCTTTCTGAGGCACTGATTCACAGGTGGATAGCCAGAACAGGGCGATATTATCGAGAAGCCTCCATCGACTTACAGGGAGGACTTCCTCTGACAAATGTTCGGAACGAAAGGTCCCAGACGAATCATGTACTAATTTCCCTGCCGGATAATAGAAGGCTTGGTATGACAGAAAAAAAACAAACCAAACCTTCTATTATCCGGCAGGGGAAATCGGTACCAGTTTCGTCTGGGAGAATAATGACTCTGAGTTGGGCACCAGCTGGCCTCTGCATGTCATTCCGTGGGCCACAGCGCTTTTATAAATCGCTACGGCCTTGAAGTGAAATGAGTGCCGCATCCCAGAGGAGGGATGCACGGATGGATGGGAGAAGCCTCGTTTTGAAATCACATTATTTCTGATTTTAGGAGGCATGCTTCAGTCTATATGTGTGGACTTGGTGCAATCATCCATTCAATGAATCGCGTGAACGATCTCGCTCTTCACATGAACCGCATCGCAAAGGCACACATCAAATGGAATGTACATCGGACTCACATAGTGGTCAGTTCTTAGAAAGATTGTCAGTACTCCTAATTACTAGACTGCTATACTCCCTTTGAGCTCGCAACCGGTTTTACCCCCACAGTACATATAATCTGCCGTCCTGTCCGCTATGGACGCCGGGGATTGTAAAGAGGTTGGGTTCAGCACGGCGCCAGCAGGTTTTCTGCCGAAAACGGTCGCCCGCTAACTTCCACAATTGGTGGGGAACGTGCTAACTATGCGCCGCGCCAGTTTCTCCCTGACACAACCCAACGTCAACAGCGTACAGGACTCCATGTATCGCATGAGCAGAGCTAGTTAGTGTGCCTAGAATCTCAGACGGAGGGTCCTATCAACATGAATAGCGCAATGGTCGAAATGGCCTCGCCTCGGACTAGCCTGAGCAACATTCAGCGCAACGTATCCTGATCCTTGCCATGCGTGATGCGAATGGGTCCGCAGCTGCAGCAGCGTACCACTTTCGAAAGTGCACTGGAAGGGACGGAGGGAAATGATACCCGGATGTTGACTCCACATTCCGCCCGCGCTATCCACCATGTCAAAGACGGGCAAGAGAATCGTAAACTGTCGCTTCGTCGCGCGCGGCAATGGGCGCGACGTTTCCTTGATTTGCACTACCCTTTCGACTGGAGCATCGGATTTCATGTAGACAAGGACATGGTAGACACTTATGTCTATTTTTGGTCATACATTGTCTATTCTCGACCAATACCACCTAAAATCGTCGTCATTAGCGGACGCGACGCCCACTGGCGCGGCGAATTACGATTCTCTTGCCACATACCCCCACCATGTGTTGGGCTTGCGTCGATACCAAGATCCCAGAGCGAAGTAGCGGTATCGACGACGCAGACAAGCAGCGCGGTGGTCATGGTTAGGCGTCCCTCTGGGGGTGCAGTAACACGGGCGGAGTCGGGAGCCGACTACTGCTACTGTCCCCGTTCTCGTGCACCTTTGAGCGGAGAAAAATGCACGCTACTGCACCTGTGGACTGACTGGGACCAGAATCCACGAAGGTGAGTGTACAGTTTGTCCAGAACAATGACTAAAGCCATGACTAAAAATGAGGCGTAGTACTATGCCAAAAAAACATTTTTTTACAGCACATGTTGGAACCAGTGCTCGAAGTAGTGAAAGACTGCAACGCCGATTACGACGATGAGATAGAACAAGCATGGACTGATCTGTACTTCATCATAGCTGATCTCATCGAAATCTATCGAAATAAGAGATAAGAACACCGTAAGGACCGGACTTTCCCGTAATCTTTCGTGTGCTCGATATTTCTCTTCTACTATGCATTTCAACGCTAATACACAATGTCAATGAATCGCTATATAAAAATAAAGTGCTGTATTGTTGCAGATACCTGTATACCCGTCAAAATAAATATATAGAATAACAACCATATAGCTTGAGCTATACTCTTATCCGACAAGGGCAATTTACTTGCCATGCCTTATTTCTTTTATCTATGCGCTTCCCAGCGCCTTTGGCGATTTTGGAGAGCGCGCTTGGCGCTTTGAGAAGCACAAGAAAAGGGACAAACGTACTGGGACAAAACATAATTTTATAGTTAGCGTGAGCGCACAGTTCCACTTCACCTACTTGTTTCGCAAACCTCACTTGGCTGATGGTTTGAGGGGGGGGGGTGTAGGTTCGCACTTGGCGCTTGAGGCACTGAGAGAGTTCTTTGTGCAAAACCAGTTCACCGCAATGCAGATATGGACTTTTGCATTAACACAGAAGAGAAAGGAAGGATGGAAAATGAACCAGTTCAAAGCACGGTAATCTAGACTGGATGATGGTAATCTTACCCCGAGTATTCTTTCAAATGCTCCTCCCCCATTGAGGGAACTTTAGAAAACATATACGTCAGAGAATGAGTAGAACAAACCTATGCCGGGAACATTATATATAATTTCTGGAGTGTCCACTCCAACAATTTTTTTGTCATTCTAAATTTTACGACCGAATTCGAGATAATTCTTGGAACAGTTTGGCTCGGTGGGAGTGGGGGGGGGGCACCAAATGGTGTTCAGCGAAGCTAAGGAGGGCTAATTGTGAACGAAGACATGTAAATTCATCTAATATAAGTGGCTCATCTATGCGCCAGTCATTTATTAGGTTTCATCACATTTAACTTATTATAATGTAAGCTGTCAGGTGACATGTGCTAGCGAAGTGTAGAATGCCCCTCTCCCCCTCCAAGTTGCGAAGCGGAACTCTTTTCGGGGATTAATTCCAACTCTTTCACGGGGAGCACCGCTATTCTTGATCCCATGCTATGTTTTCGCACCCTAGACCACAGTTTAATCCCTCTGCTCTTTCCTCCAAGTGTATCTTCGAAATGGTGACGTTTGAGAGTCCCGAGCCTTCAGCATGTTTAAAGCAGACCTGTCAGATTCACCTCCAATACGTTGATTCGGACTTGTCAGATTCCACTACTACTTATATTCGACTGCATGAGGATTGAAGGCATTTCCCCTCTTCACTCAACTTCTCAATTCGGTTTTTCATTTCTAAGGATCTTTTCATCTTTTATTACTAATATTTAAGTAATTCGTGCTTTCAGTAGATTCTTTCTGCACTCGGACAATCCCATTTTTGAGACTTAAATGGAATTTTTTTCTGTTTTTTAGTCATATTAATGTTCAGTGAAAGGAAACAATCTTTGTCTGGCAGCTTTGGAACTGCGTTCATTTGTATATATCTTCTATTGATTAGTATTCATTTTTGGTATATTTTATTTTTTTTTTCTCAAGATCAAATAATATATGATATAAAGTTCCACTTGCGTCATTTTTCCCGCAGTCTTTGTCTAGGACAAGATGTTTCCTTTCACTGCATTCATAGCTAAAGAGCTCGAACTGGGGCTTGAAACTAAAATTCGGTTATATGCCTGGACGCGGTCTGGCGCGGCACCAGCCAGTCTTGCACTCATTTCCAGCTCCAGCAGTCAGTTCCCAAAATGCAGTGACAACTGCTCAATCCGCCTGAAAATCGAGCTTCCCCTACCCCCTCCTCCCCCCCCTCCCTCACACTCCCTCTCAGTCCAGTTGCCGCAGCGTAAAAGACTTGTAAATAACCAAGATGCTTACCGTAACCTCCTTTCATGATTTAGCCCAGTCGCCCGGAGCTTTTAGTCGCAATAGCTTCTATCTTGAAACGCGACTGATAGGTTCGAGTTCCAGAAGTCACTGCAAGTCAAGCGAAGCAAGGGGAATAAAACAATAACTCACTCTTAGGATATGCACCACGTGCTGGACTGCCCTTTTAACTTTAAGAAGCATATGAATGTCCAATCTGATCGGACATAGACCTATTAGTTCAATATGCCACGCAGATGTACTGCTATGGGTGCAGTATATCTGCGTGGGGTATTTCTAGGATGCCAGTTCCAAGAACAACATCCAAAGCCCGTAAAGTGATTATCGTTTCCGTTTGCGTAAACGATTAACACCTTGGAGGTGGTAATTAGCGAGTTCTCAGAAATATGGGGTCAACTAAGTGGTCTCATGACCAGAAAATGAGAAATAGCCGATTGAGTCATTACAAATACCAGAAATTGTTGTACTATCCATATTAGAATATTTGTGATTTTCAATGAACACCACGTTTTTCTATAAGAGCCCTTGAAATCTGCACTTATGCGCCATCGCCTTTCCTACACAATCGTGTAGTTCGTACGCCCATTTTGAATGAAATCCTCTATAATATAAATTCTGCCAAGTTTTCCCGGGGAGTTAGAGGATATCGAACCCCTGGAATTAAATAACCGCATCTCCTCTTAAAGACAGCGCCGCGCGATGGACTTTGCTGTCTTCAGGGTCAAATTTGTTAGAACAGGTGGCCAATGAAGCACTAATCAAAAAAAGTAGGAAAAAGGTGTGGAAGAGCGTGAAATAAGACCCTACGAAATTTAAGGCATGTGGACGAGTTTCGCAGACCTTTGGTGAGTTTCTTCCCAATTACACGTCGCCCGCTCGAAACTACCATGAAACTTAGCGTTTGATCAATGCCAAGCAAGGCACATGATAATGTTAACCCGCCCCGCCCCCACCCCCGCCACTCCCGCCACAGTCGGCGCGGATTAACAGGGAAGGAGGCGTCAGCCTCAGCCTTGTTGACTCCGGCCCCGTGCAATGCAATACATTTTCGAGCACGCTGGTGGATATTCGCTATGGTCCGAAACTCCGCGTTCGTTTTTTCATTGGAGGGTTTTTCACTTTGGTTGAAGTCGCGACTTTTCACGCTGCCCTTTAACAGATCAATTCAGCATTTCCTGCTAAACAAAAGTGGTAATCGTGTTGTAGAGGGGAGGTTGTTGAGGGAAGGGAGGAGTAGGGATGCAGGGTGTCGAACTACCTCTCGAACAAACAACTTTTGGGCAAGCAGTATTGGCGTTAATAAGTGCAAACTTTTGCGCCCGCACGGCGCCCAATGGACCCTCAAGTTGTTTTGGGCCATGGCTGGACGTGATAATTTCCATTGTTGTCGGGTACAAAATCCCCAGGGAACAAAGTTTCGGCCACGTCTAGTCACGGTGTGAAATTCCAATCAAAATCCTGCTTGAACTTTGAAGAGTGTGGATGTAGTGTAAGTGGTGCCGAAAATTTCACTGACACTCCAAAAATCTCTTTTATTCAAGAGGTCTCTCAAGTTAGCCTTACGAACTGTCTCTACATTGACCTACATTGTCTTCACACATTCGAGTTGCCTCGGGAGTCCTCAGAAACAGCGGAAAAATTAATCAAGAAGAATTGCATAAGAGATGTAAAAGGCGTAAGCTTCCGGTGTAATGAGCCAGAATTTGGAGAGTCGCCCCATCTTCGACTTCAAATTTCAAGCTCGCAAGCGGCTTCTTGATACCGGAAGCAACTTTGTTACGCTCCTCGATAAACTAATTAGCTGCCCTAAAATGTAGGCTGCGACTGGCTCGACGGAAGTCGTTCGAGGGTTAACAACCGCGGTTCGCGGCGTGCTGGGTTATCGCGTCATCTCTCCACCACACATCCCTTCCCATAAAATCATCCTCTGGTCTTTTAACTCATCTTTTACTTCCTCTCATCCAGGATAGTGCCTGCTTGCCTCCAGAACGAGAATTGCAATGGAGTGAAGCAAAGGGTTAACGCGTCGTTTCTTCTCATCACCTGCTTCCGGTGCAACTGGCATTTTTTTCCCTAGTCTCCGGAATTTAATAGCTGCATTCCGTATTAACCCCTTTCTAACCGATAAGTTCATCATATTAGGTTGGTTGCATAGTTTTTCCCCCGACTTTTTTGTAAATATCTCAATAGCGAACCAGCCTGAAGATTAGAGGTATGCACCATCACCATCCACTACTCGACGCCAACGCTCAGGCAGCTTGTCGATTCCATCGTCCCAGAAGGACGGGGGCTGGGACCCGAAGAAGGCCACAATGCCGCACAATCACCACTGTGACATGGTTTTGCACTGGTAATTGTGCGGCATTGTAGCCTGCAAATGCAGGGTGGGTGAGTGATAGCTAGTGTGGTGAAAGAGTATCATGTACACGTCATGACGAAATACCAACCTCCATGCAAACGAAATACGGAAGGATCAAAACAGGGGGAAAAACTTATGCAACAACCTAGTAGTTATTCCCCATTACCCTTCCACAATAGTCCAACCGACAATGGTTTCGGTCAGAGCACGTTGCGACAGCACGACGGAAGCGATGTCGCGCGATGCCGCAACGAGGACTTCTTGATCGACTGCCTCAGCAATGAGCAAAAGACCTCTATTTCATCGTCTCCCTCACGCCGAATGACAAGAAAGAAGACTTATAAAAATTCACGCAAGTAAAATGACCCAGAAGTTCTAAGACAACCACATACTTCGTAAAATGAAAGACTTGGACTCCTGATCACCACTGCATGTAGATGCGCCGTCCGTACGGAACTCATTTTGTTCAGCATAGTACTCTTCTGGTCTTGGTGAAGGCGGTCGAAATGGTTTGGAAATTTCCGAAACGTCTATCGGACGATCCCACTCTTCAAAGTAGCTATCTAAAACCTCTGCATCAACTGAATGATTTCGATCAGCATCACGGATCAACGGGAAAACATTACAACTGCAGTTCTCACCACTCACCTGATAGGAACATTTCATGATAATCGTATTCTGAATGTTTTTCTTGTGCTTCCATTGACGTTATAAATCGACTATCACAAGATGTGTTAAATGTATCGTGGAGCGATATTCGATCCGACAAGGAATAATCCAATATAGAGAAAGAATCGGGATAAGCTCTGCAAAGGAATGGTTTTCAAGCCCAGCAACAAATGTCGCAAAGCCTCTCTAGAACCGGCACTAGGCCACATTTTAACGGCAATCGCCTTTACGGGGGGGGGGGGAAGGTGGGGTGAAGACAACACCTAGGTATCCGCAGTGGTTGCCTCTTGCGGTCTTCTAAGGCCTAAGGTCTTCTTACTCTGTTACTAGGAGGAGCGGCGATTTGAGAGATTGCGCGACGTGGAAAGTATAGGTTCGAAAATCCGGAGTTTCAGGAGATATGGCGAACGGGCTATTTGGGACACCCGGCGATTCATCTCCCGAATCTCTTCACTCGCAACGCAGCTCAAAGCTAAGGCTGTTGAAAGAAGGGACTACTATCTCGGTGAGAAGACGCAGACGAACAGACTAGATTGCGCTGCCTCTCCCATCTCTAGCGGTTCTCAGCCTCTTCCAACTGATTTTCAGCACAACAAAAAGGTATCACAAGCGGGCTGATACAGTTCTAAGGAAGCAAAAACAAAAGTAAAAATGGAGAGTAGGATCCTGCGCAGTATCTGAGGAAATGAGCAAGAAATAGAACAATTGCTGAAACTCTCCCATCTCTAGCGGGTTCTCAGGCTCGCACACGATGTGGTGCGATTACCACATGGGGGAAAGTGTAAAGAAGAAACGCCCTGTAGGTATGCAGCATTCCTATCGATCCTCAAAAGCGGGATATGAATCTTGGTAGAACCCGAATTCGCGAAATGAGCCTGAACTAGCTTGAGGAGCGGGTTTAGAAGGGGGTGTGTAACTCATCACCAGAATTACCTCCATCGTGCATTACTATCTGTTTTGCAGCGACGCACAGCAGTACTCGACCGAGAACCAGTAACAATATACACGCACTTCCGGTAGATATAGAACCCGGTTGGAAATTCGGAAAAAAATCACCAAATGCAAACTGTAAGCAAGCTACCTTTTTCGCTTTGCTCTATCTGCATAAGGAGGTCGAAACGGAGAGGATGGAGCCAGCTTAATTGTCTTAGGACGGTGGAGCATCGTCTGAAAAAACATATGCAGACCTCAACCAAGTGATCAGTTGTGGAGCATATACAGAAAGGAATGGGTCCAGCAAAGAAAAATCGACCGTTCTTGCAATTTTTGACACGAAAAATGGAGGCTATTCACTCAAGAGCGTGTTCAAAAAAATATTTGAGATTTTAATTTTTTGTTCCAACTTCAATTTCATGAATGCAGGGCCATGTTCAAACTTCTCGACTAAATCTCGACCTTATGAAATCGCGCAAGCTCGACAGACAGTGCTCCACTGCCAATCGCTGAGCAGCTGCAAGTGCCAATTCATTCACTCTGAAATGGAACTTTTGTCTGCCTTTGCAGCGGTTAATGATTGACGGTGGGGCGCGGTAGGTCGTAGTCGCGCGATTGAATTGCTTCAGAAGTATGAACGCAACAAAAGTGATATTCCCCATGAACAAACCTTAGCGTCTACACACGCCCATTTTTGTTTTTGGCGTTCGTCGCATTTCGACGTAGTATCGCCATTTATCGAAATACTTCCGCATAATTCTCTTCAAGCGAGCTTTTTTGAACTGCACCAGCTTCAGTGAGAATTCTACTTTTTGGCTGTCGACTCTAAAAGAGGATCAAAAAATCGGGACAGAAGATAACAAAAAAATTACAATCCACATCAAAATGTTGTAGCAAAGGCCTTGACCGTTTTCAGAAGGAGTGTACGGAATGTATTTTTGATGGCCCCTCCCCACACTGCGTTCCCCCTTTCGCCACTCCTTGAACAGGCCTCATACACTCAGTGCTCATCAAGGACCCAATGACACCACCGGAAATCACCAGCGTGAAAACTAACTCACAGAGCTAACGAATGCTTAGCGCCATGACCAGATTTGTTGAGTTTTGCATAATTAGATGGTGAGAACACTGAAATGAGAATTTAAATCAGTAAGAGCCTGCAGATTGTGAAGGAAGACTTATTGCACAAAGAACCACAACAACAAATAAATGACAATTCAGACGCAGTTCGGCTTGAAGGGGCGGGCATTTGCCAACTTCCCTCGGTCACGGCCGATGCCTCTTTAAAAAACCTGTAAATTCCTGCAAAATTACGCAGTAGCATGAGCTTCGTTAACATCAGACAAGAACCAACATTTCTCCCAAGGTAGGACATGTAGGTCAACGGGAACTAGTAACGGAAGCTAGCGAAAGTGCAAAATGCCACCCTCCCCCTACTCCGAACAGCGCCAACAAAATCAATTATTATACAACGACCAACAAAACCAAACTGCGTCTTATCGAAATCGATTAAAGCGTGAGCAGAAGAACAACTGACTTTGACAATTCCAAACGCCTCGAAATGTTCCCCAATCATGTCGACGTTCTTGGCGCTTCCGTCGGTTCTCCAATAC